ATTCTACACACACATTCGAACAAAGTTTGCAAGAACAAGTAAACAAAGTTTGCAATGGCAGCACATTTTGGCACATTGCTTTTACAGCAAGAACGCATGAATACAATGCAAAATAACAACAACAACACATGCAAACATTTTAAAATGGACTCATTGAAAAAATAGTATAATAACGTTCCTGCTATATTTTCTCACAAAAGCAAAAATATACAAACAAAACTGCTTAAATGAAAAATGCATTGTTGTAAATGGCAATTGGTGCTTCTGCAACAGCAACAACAACAACAACAACAACAGCAGCAGAAGTAGTAGCAGTAATTATTGTGCTCATTGTTGGACAACGCTTAAAACGGGTTGTGGGGCATTGATGTCAACTGACAGTTGTATGGTACTTTAATATGTGGGTGTATGTGCTAATGTGTGTTTAGTTTTAATCAATGTAGCTACATATAGGGGTAGTCAAATGTTATAGGTGACAGCTAGTGGTATTGCTTGTTATTATATTACTTCCTTTTGTTTGTTGATATATTTGTAGTTATTACTGTTTTATATACTATGCTTAAACTATATATAATTTTATTCAAATATTTTGTTGTAATTTGTTGTTGAAAATAACGTAAATATGATGTCGACGTCATCACATTTTACAGCAAGAACAAACATTTAACGCATATTGATGCATGATAAGCTTTACATGTACGCACACACCATATATCTACATCGTATGTGTGCCATCTATGTACAACGTAAATTGATGGCGCTATGCTGCACCACACGTTGAAAACTGGTACAATGTTGTCATAGTAACCGAGCTGCTGCAGTTGTTATTGCTGCCACTGTAAAATTTATATTGGCTGTCGCTGGCAATACTGTCGCTGCAGCAATGTTTAATATTTTTGCTTGTATTTTTTTTCTTACGAATATGAAATAGTATAGAAACTTGGTCAAGAGAGAACCTTGTGACATTATTTCGCTCTTATTTTCTTCAACAATGTTAAATATTCTTCTTTCTACTTGAGATAGTATATAAAAGAAATTGATTAACTTTTTTTTGTTAAAAGACACTTTACAAATTTTTTAGTTTAATAAAATGTGCTTCGTTGTAAAAATTTGTAATAAATTATTTTTAAGAAAAAATGATCAAATAATTATAACTTAATAGTATAAGTAAATATTAAATTATAATAATGCTTTTTTTAAAAAATTTATTTGAATCATAAAAAACATTTATTAGTTGATATTATATTATATAAATTTTGTTATACATATAGATATAATTAATCTAAATATAATTATATAATAAATAATAAATTAAGAATTCAACACTCCTCACAAAATACTAAATTGAAGAAGTGTGAGATACTTTTGGCAAAAGCGTGTCACAAAAGAACATACCTTGCCCGAAAATGTGTCAAAAAGAAAAAACTGATCGAAAATATATCAGAAAACAAAGATTACTATTTGATATGTATAAAATAAACAATAAGCAATGAATTAAATACTTTACAATAAATGAACTTTATTATTTAAAACGGATTTCTGAATAAATAACCGCCTTTTATGTTTTCAAGAGCAGTTATAATAATACTTCGCCCTGAGGAAGAAGTCAAACAAACTTCGGAACTTCGGCGATAGTTATATTGTTATATATAATAATGCAAACAAAAATAAAAACTAATCTATAAGCTTTTATTTCTTTCAATTCAGTAAAATGAATGGTACTCTATTGTACCCTAAAATTATACAGTAAACTTTAAGCTAAAAGGTTTACATTATACTTATTATAAATAAATTTCAATTTATTATAAAGACACATATATTTTTCAAAGTTATATAATTCATTATACCATCTAAAGTTAGTTGTTTAATTATTGTTACGACGATATTTTACATCTATAAATTTCACTATACGATATATTTGCAAACTAAAACTTCATAGAATTTATCTAATCTTTTTTTTAAAAAACTACTGAGAATCATAAATAAAAAAATATTTATATTTTTTTTAATTTACACGTAATATCAACAACAAAAAGCAAAACTGAAACATCAATGTTGGTACAACTAATTAGCAAAACGACACATGACAATTAGATAATTTTTCATTGTATGAAATTGCAATTAAGATAAACGGAAAAACAGGCAAATCTCACATATGCAAACCAGTATACTGAAAACGTGATCAACTAAACTTAATAACATTTATAGAGGCTATCAATTATGAACTTCCCTGACTTTAGTAGTATTCAGAACACTGTCCGTAAAAATTTAATAATAGACAATAGATAACAAATTGCCTTGTTAGTAGGAAAATAGTGCCTAATAAAAATGTGGGATTTTAACATTACCCACAACATTGGAAATATGCAAATAAAACAAGTTTAATAAAATTATTTTATACTATACTGATGACTTTTATGTAGATATATAAACAAATGATTTTGCTATTGTTGTAGCAGCAATAACAAAAATTACATCTTAGAAATTTAAAATTCACAAATTGATGCGCTGTTCATAACTCATACGCAGCGTTGTATTTTTAACTGATAGTCATTTGCAGTCACCAACTAAATTTGCAAATTAGTTGCCAGCGGTGCATTTTTAAAGGTTTTGCATACAAATTTTTTCATTTAATCATATTTTATATAATAGCAAGTAGAATCTTTTATAAAATTTATTTAATATAAATTTTACAATCTTAGAATATTTTTTAAGAAAAATTCTAATTACACTTCTAACAATTCTATAACAAACTTGTCTATAATAATTATTTTTGTAAGTATGCACGAAAGAGTTAATATACATAGTTAATAGAAATTATGATTTATTAATTATATTATTAAATCAACTCATTTGCTAAAATAGGTGCTAACTAAGTTGTTTATATGGTGTTTTCCCAATCAAGACAGGTCTCCAAGTACGTTTATTTTAAAGGACTCTGTTAATCTTATGTTTGGATACTAAACATAATCATTTATTTAATTATATATCACTAAGGTATACATAACTCGGTGTATCTATATATATATATATAATAATATTAAATATATATATAATATATATATATATAATATATATATATATATATATATATATATATAAATAGATGCGGTGTTAGTTACAGTTGTTACAGTTATAAATAACGTTCGTCAAGGAAGGCGTGAAGAAATTTTTCGATAAGTTAGATCAACACTCTACATCCATAATATTAAAAATTAATATTATGGATGTAATAATATTAAAAATTAATATTATGGATGTGGATGTGGAATATTATGAAATTTCTACCAACGAAAGAAGATATGCTGGCATCGAGGTACTTATAAAGAGATAATATCTCAAGTGCAATATATACAACTATTTATCTATAGTTTAGCTTAAAGTGGCAACCTTGTGTCCAAAGCTCACTTCAGCTTAAATAATGGCCTCTGTGATTCACCCGTAGGAAAAAGTAAAAATTCTGAAGAATACCTACTCTTGACAGTCAGTCAATAGAGTTACAATAAATTAATATAAAATAAGGCATGACTTTACATCTTTTTTGCAACTTTAGTTAGTCTATTGCACGTAAGTTAATAAATTGGCATTGTAAAATATACAACTCTTCAAAACTTAGGTATACATTAACAAATTTTCATATAGAAAAGGGAAGCCTAATATAAAAATATTTTATATGATCATAATTTTGTTAATACAAATCTTAAGAAAAATGTTAAATGATTTTTTAAGTGACAAAAAAAAAATGAGAATTCTTAAGATTTATATAGGGATTTGTGTAATGTTATAAATAGTAATTTATACTAAAATAGTATTATAAGTAATAGATTTTTTATACTGCAGGAACTTAAATTGAACAATAAAAAATTTGTTTATATACAAAAACAAACTAACAAAATCAATGAAATTTTTTTAAATCAATACCATTTACAAAGTGGAAAAGTATTCTTATATGAAATTTCATATATATAAATACTATACTATCTACTCATTTTTAAGAGACAAAATTGACAAGTGTAGTTTACTACAAATAATAAATGATAAATTTATTAACATAAAAAAGTCCTGAAATATATATATTTTTATTCAGAAAGATATCTAAAATATTTTGAACTAAAAAGAAAACATAGCCTATACATATCCACTAAAATGATCAATAATCTCTTTGAACTACCTACACAATTTAGAAAAAAGCATATTAAAAAAGCATATTAATCACTTAATTTCTGGACAGCAAAATCTGAGGGAAATATTTGTCTAAATTATTTTAAAAATGTTTATAAATAATTATTGTTACTAATATAACTATATACTTATAATTAGATTTTTAATTTTTTAGTATTATTGTTGTTGTTGTAAATTTTTTTAATATAACTAATTACTATAAAAAAATACATCTTTAGATATACATACATATGTCCAAAAAATATTATTTAAAAATAAAGTTGAATTTATTTTATTTAAAAGACATAAACAATATATATTATTGATTTTATAATTTTTTAAATAATTTTTTTGAAAAAAATTTACCAGTTTTAATTGTGGTTGTAGTTGTTGTTGTAGTTTAAATGGTTGTTGTTTTTTCGCCGTAACTACGTTTTATAAAATTTATTGAAATTTTGTGTTGTATTTCTTGTTTTATTAAGAACACAGTACACTGCAAAAATAGAAGCAATTTATTGCAATTTTTATATAAATGTCAATGTAGATGTTTGTAATTTTTTAAATTTGTTGTTTCCGTTTTTTATTTATGAAATTATTCGATGCCGTTGCTGCGACATTAAGTTTGCAAATTGAAAGGATTGTTCCTTTGTTTTATTTATTTATGTTTATTTATATTTTATTTATTTATTGGTTTATTTAAATATATTATTTAAAATATATTTTATTGTCTTTTTGTTATTATTTTTGTTGTTGTTGTTGTAGCTTATGTTATATAAAGCACACTTTTTCTTTCGTTTTATATATATATATATATTATTTTATTTTTTGATTTACTTTACCTTTGCTGATGAAGTAACAGATTTGATGGCTCGAAAAGATTTGAATGAAAAAATGATGTAGAATGTTTTATTTTTTCTTATGAAGCATTTGCATAAAGTATTAGCTTATTTAAAATGTGGAATTTCTAGATTTCCTTTAATTCCTGCAATAATAAAAATATGATTAATGATTTTTATTGATAAATTATTTATTTTTTATTGCTAATTATTTCATTATTTCATAAAAAAACATTATACAGTTTTAAAATTTGCATTTGTAGATATTCTATTTTCGTAATGCAATAATTTAATTAAATTGATTTTATTTTAATGCTTATTTATTACAACTCTCACTTAATTTAATTTTATTCAATTTAATTCTCATACAATTTCTTTTTTTCCTTCGCTAGAATGGCTTTGTGACTATTGCCGTTCGTTGTGTGCCGTTGAGTTACGTTTTCTTTCATCTAACGTTTGATTCTAACTGAGAAAATGTGAATAATTTTAATGTCACAGTTTTTTCTGTTCTTTGCGTTTTTTTTTTTTACTATTTTCTAGCTTTTTTTCTGTGTCCGCTCGTGTTTTATTGTGCTTTATTGTTTTTCTTCTACATCTTCTAAATTTTTTTTAGATTCATAAAATTGATTTTTTTGTAAATTTTTTTACTACTTTTATTTTTGTTTTCCATTTTTAATCAAATACATTGTAATCATTTTGAAACCCTTAATGTTCCTGCAAATTGTTCTGAAGTCCCCCATATTATTCTATTATTTGGTTTTGTTGTTGTTGCCGTTGCTGCTGCTGTTATTGTTAATTTACAACACAACATTTCTTAACACGTGAATGCTTATATGTAAGTAAGCTTTCGCTCCACTTGAATACTGCATGTAATGTTATATGATTGTGTGTTGTGTATTGTGTGTTGTGTAAATAGAAAACGTACGAAGCATTTTCATTTGCTTTCGCTGTTCTCTTAGACTTTTGCTAAGTTTTATTTAGTGGTTGTTTGTTACTGTAGTTGCTTTTGGGAAGCTTATTAGGGCAGTAGGTTCCAACTAATACAACAAGGAAATATTTTTATTACTCATACATATACGTATTTAGGTATATGTGTGAGTAGTTTAATTTCAAGCTTTCGTAACAAAAATTGAGCATAAAACTCAACGAATTTTTACTGAATGCGAGTACGAGCGCCGTATTGAATGTAGAGGTTAAAATTTTATACTGTTTTTTAGTATTGAAAATTTGAAAACTATATGCATTTTTGAAAATACTCGGTTGAGAGATAAAAATGTATGAACGTATGAAATTGAAATGATTGTGCATGAGTTGGCGTATGTGCAACCTTGTAAAATATTTTCGAGTTTTTTGCTTTTTTTTATTTGCTTTAATATCTTAAACTGCTAAGTTGCAATTTTATTTTTAAATACGATATTAATAAGAATAGTTTAGTAGGTTTTGCAAAACAAAAAAAAAAAACTATGTTAAATAATAGCCTGTGATAACGTGATAATAGAGCATTTAAACCATTTGCTTTTTCTTCACGACTTATAAGAGAATTTATGAAGTTAAATTCTTAATCAAATTGAAATTGTTATAATTAAGGAATTTAAAACATATGTGAACCGATAAAGTATAAATAAGTTACATATTAACAAGTCACATACCATTAAAAAACTATGAGAATATATATATATTACATTGGATTAAAGTTGATATATTTTTTAACCGTATTAATCGTATAAATTTTATTTATAATTATTCATATAAATATATAAAAAAGAATGTGTTAAAATTTATTCCCAATTCTCTATGCGTTATTCATTTAATATTTTATATAACTTTTTTAAATAAAACTTATTTTTAGAATATAAATAACAAATCAATCCGTATCTTATTAAAATTATAACATTAATTGCTGTTTTTTTTTAAAGAAATATTTGCTCGGTAATACAAAAGCAAAATTATAATTAATATAATGTTTAAAGAATGCCTTGGGATAATTTGATAATTATATATATATAATTCTTAAAATTTTATTTCTATTTTATATTTATTGATTTTTTTTTTATTTAAAACAATAAATACAAAACATATGAGAAAATTATATTTTACAGAAAGTATAGGTTTCATAATTCTTATTTTTGAAATATAGATTATCATCAAAAATAATCCAAATCTACTAAGAGTTAACTTTTATTTTATTAACTGCCACATTTAAAATGACAATTTTTTGCATTAACAATGGAATTCTATAGGAAACTTAACTTCTATTAACGTTTTTTAAAAAATATTGCATTTTGCTTATATATAATGAGAATTTTATCCATCAAAAGAATATTTAAGGGAAAAATTTCAATTGAATGTGAGAGATAAAAACGTAGAAAACCATAAAAAATACTATATCTACATAACTGCATTATAGTGTAATGTGGATACATTGTTACGCTAAACTCAATTAAAGTTTTCAGAAGTTCTACAATCTAATCAAATAAAATTAGATTTAATATTCTGTCAGTGTTGCCATGTACGTTTATTTTAACTGAAAAGTAGTCAAAGCTTATGTTTCAATATATTTCGATATTAATAAACAGCTGAAGATGATAAAAAGTTGACTTGTATTTAATATATAAAAGAAACATTTGTTCTATATTTGAAAAGCTCAATTAAATCTCAAAATTATAACTATCTGAAATTATAGAAAACTAAGTGTATTGAAACAATAAATTTTTGTTTTTTTAATTATTAAATAAATGTTAACAAAATAATTAAAAGTGATATTTTTATGAATATTCCATAAAGTCAATAAAAAATTCAAAAAAGTCAAAAAAATTGTATTGAAGTAGAAACATATTTCTTTATAACAATTAAGAAAATTTTTATAGCACTTTAAAATACTGTAAATCAAATTTACATATTATTTTAAAAATAAATATTTAGGAAACTTAACAAAATGTATTATAATTTTTGTCTTTGCATTTTATATAAAAAATAATTTCGAATAATTATTTTTATATGTTTTAATTAATTCTTTTTAGTTTTGTGTTTATTACTAATATTTGAAAATCCTTACACGAAAAATGTTTCATTAGACAATTCATTTAAATAATTATTTTTAGAATATATGAATTCTAATTATGAGTAGTAGATATCGTATAATTTATTATACAAATTATAAATTACACATATAAAAAATTATAGTTATTTTTATACTTTCGTTTGATTGTATATACATCGTTGTTCTGAATTAGTTAAACCTTATGCCTCATTATTATTTTTAAATAACCATAATAAATTTTATAAACATTCTTTCTTCTATTACAAACCGTAAAAGCGAAGAAAGAATGTTATTTAACTCTACACACATACTCTACGCATATACATTTTGCACTAGAATCTATAATCTCCAAACTTTTATGAAACAACGTAAAAACTAAACGGACAAACGAATACAAAATCAAGTTCACAGATGTGTGAGCAAAAGAATGTAACGATTGAAATAAAAATATTGTGTGAATTTTTTTGTTGAAAAGAGTTAAGGAATGCTTAAATGAAAAATATATATATAACAGAGTTATATTAATTAACTCTGTTATTATTTTATATTTATTTTTAGATAGATTTAATGTTAATGTTTAACATAGAAATATATTTACTCTTGTAAACATAAATTTACAAAAAAGTTTCAGTTTTTTGACAGTTGATAGGTTAGAAATATTTGACTTGTTTCGTTAACTAATATTAACTTTTGCTTTTTAATATTCGTGAAGTATGAAAATATTTGTATGAAATATTTGTCTAATATTAAATGCGATATTCTTTAATTTATTTTTTCAACTTTGTTGTGAATTAAAATTTTTTTTTTTGTTTTAATTAAAAGCAAATTTCGTATTGCTTAATATCTTGTATAAACAAAATTGAAAACATTTTTCTTTTCATGATTTTATGGCGGTATTGAGCGAAGTGAGCAAGGTTGCATTGCATGAGAGAAAAGTTGAGAGTGGTGAAAATTGGTTCCACGCACGCAACACTCAAAGCTCATACACTTTGATTATTGAAAAAATCTGCTGTTTCTATGTTGCTTTGTAGTTGTTTGTTGTTTTTGTTGTTCAACTGCTGCTTTGACACACTTTTGTATGACGTAGTTGTTCATATGCATGACATTTGACCATTGGAATGCTTAGATATATTCAGTTATATACTCATGTATATGCATACATACATAAATATATTTATATACATATATATGTATATAAATCGATTTTAATTATAAATTTTTTACTTAAAATTTTTTCATAGACTGCAGCTTTTTACGTTTTTCTTCATAGGATATAGTTAATATATATGTATTTATATATAGTAGAAAAAGGAATATATGAAGGAAATATAAAACTATAAGAATGCAAAAGTATCTTAATATAAATTAACACACATGTGTGTTGATATATGAATTTTAAACTTTTTTTTCGTCACACTTTTGTTGCGCCATTTATTCGATTACTTTTTCTTTGTTCGAAAAATTGTACTAATTTTCATAACTAAATTTTGATAATAAATATTTAAAAACTATTTAAATGAGTTATGTATTTGAATTTATTCTCATATGTGTTATCGTTATTTTTTTGTTTCTATAACATTATTTTTACGCATAATTGTAGTTTTTATGTAACCAGCATAAAAGTATCTCACAATCTGCCGCTTTTTTGTCAGATAGTTTGGTATTGTATCTATTTTCTGATTTATATTTGACATTGAATTTTTTAAGTTAAATTTCCGACTTTCGGACTAACAAAATAAAAGATTATTGTCATTTCTCGCTATGTTTATCAATGCGGACTGACAAAAGCCTAAAACAATTTAATTTCATTTTTCATATGTTTTATTTGTATTTCATTTTATATGTTCTATATTGAATTAAAATAATTTCACAAAAGTATTAGACAATGCGCAGTAAATAGTTTCAATTAAAGTGTTTTAACTGGAACGCACACACTTTACACACATTTATGCATATTTTCACACTAACAAATTACTCAATTCTATGAAAAAAAAAATTATTCTGCTGTTATCAAGATAAGCAAAAATACATTTTTTATAAAAAAAGATTGATTTAAACGTACTTATGACAAAAACGTGTGTACGAACAAACGAACGAATCGCTGCGACTTATGGCTCGAAAGTGATTCCAATGTTATGAACGACTGTAAAAATTCCCCACAAATTCAAATGAAAAATTTCAATTTCATACAAAACTTGAATTTGTATCTGTAGCTTGCATTGATACATGTTCATGTACTTCTCACAGATATCTCACAAGTATCTCACAAATCTGTCTCACTACTATTGCATACAATAGTGGCAATATTGAACGTTCTCACTTGGGTATAGGTACGAGTAAAAGCAACAATATCTCAGCATATGTATAAGTTCTCATTCTCTCACTCATTATTAACAACAAAACATGAAACGTGCTTCAATACTTTGGCGTTTTAACGCGGCACTACGAAACTATATGATACGAGTATGTGTGCTGCAACCCACAAGATTTGTGACTTCCCAGTAGAAAACGGATCGATCCGTCATCGAAGACGTCTTCAAGACATGGATGCATACATGAAGACCGATCGATCCAAATGTATGACGGTCTTCGAAGACACTTTCATACAAATTAGCCAAATGTCTTCAATGAATTTTTGCGTACACGTCTCGAAGACCGTCTCGAAGACCATGTCTTGCATAACGGACGCATTCGACAGAAAGTTGTGCGCTCTTAGTGCAGTGCTCATAAAATTTTTTCACCCTTTTTTTTATTTCTACTCTTTTATTGCGCTCTTTAAATTTTAAATGAATTTCAATTTTCTCTTTAAATAAGTAGAAAGAAATTGTTGTATTTTGTACTTTTATTTATTTTATATAATAATTTTTTATATTACATTCAAAATTAAAAGTTTTAAAAGTAAATTAAACTTAAAAACTAGTAAACGTAATGAAAATTAATTTAAATAATTAACTTAATATAACATCTAATATCTAAAATTAACTAAAACTAATAAAAAATAATTTAAAGCATTTCGCTATCATCAATTGTTGAAGTCATCTCTCTTCCTTTTGCCCGAAAGTTTTGCTTATTTAATCGATTTTTTGCTAGTCTTAGCGCACTCCGCAGGTCTCCTATAAAATCATTAAATGATTTTCCGTTTCTTGTCGATTCTGTAAATTGAAAAGAATTGTTATTTTTAAAAAGTAAATGTAAAATAAATTCAGTAATTACCAAAAATAGCATCCAGCAAAAAGGGATACTCCCGCAAAGACGTTTTCCCTTTTACCCCACCGCAGTTATGAGATAGAATTATGCTCTTGCTGAAGATGGCTTCAATGTTCGCAACATTCCCCGACAAGATTTTCTTCATTGATTCAATCTAAATAAAAGTAAAGAATTTAGGTTAATATAAATATAATATAGGTATATATTAAATGATATACTTAATGAATTAAAAATATATATATTCATAAGTATATTAAATAAAAATTTGTTGTTAAATACTTACAATTTCCAATTTTCGGTCTCCTTGCAATTCCTCATTAATAAATATTATTTCCTCATACGTTTTAAGAGGAAATTTTTGTGCCCACTGCACTAAATGTAGCCCCAAATTTTTTTTTAATAGAACATTGTTTTCGGCCAACATCTCTTAATATCAATATAATTTCCAGGAACTAAGTCACTATTTAATTTGTTTTTATTTAATTTCTTTTTTTTTAATATTTCATAGTTTAATGATTTTGTTTCTTTATTCATTTTGATTTTTTTAATATTTATTTCACAAATGTTTATTCACTACACTTCAAAATTATTGCGTCACTTCATTTATAAAACAAAGCGTCATCTGAGACAAAATTCAAATACGTTGCTATGACTACAAAAAATGAGAGAGAAAACAAAGAAAGAGTATTTACATTCATGTTTTGAGCAATTGTTTTACAAATTTGCTTGAAAATGCGGACGCGGTATCAAAGACCGTCTTGAAGACAATGTCTTCGAAGACCACTTTTTCTACTGGGTTTGTCAAATACATTTCTTAACCATGCACAGAAACACAGATACACATCAATACTTGCGCACTATCCCTGTTATCTTGCTAGAGAGCCAATTGATATTCTCACACATACAAGTGTATACAGTTTCAAAACAACCACTTTGCTTATTATCTGGATTCATGGAATCTGGATTCAGAGCAATAGGAATCTGAAAGCATGCGCCTGACCGACAGACCATGTGGAGTGGAGTATAAGCACTCGTTCTGTACTGATATCTACGGTTGGTGTTATATTTTGTAGTTTTCTTGCTTCATCACTCTTTTTGCCCGATTCGCTTTTGGATACATACACATTCGTTCCCAATAAGCTTAACTCTTTGCTCTTAACAGAGAAGACATACTAAAAGTTGGTTGTTTTGGTTTTCTGATAAGAACGGGAGAGAGACATGGAGAGCATTCATACCGTAAATATAGACAATTGAACAATGAAACTATGTTATTCCACTTTTTCTGCGCTTCAGATATGCAGATTACTTAAACCACTTGCATAATGTATTAAATCAATGAGCTCACATATATGTTGAGCAGTCAAATACTATGTACTCCCGTAAAAAAAAATGTTAGCTTTGGATTTATGGAAGCTTTAGCATCCTCACATAAAAAGTTAATTTTAAGTTAATCTTGTTTTACACTTTCTTTTATTTTAACCTATCTTATATTATTAACAATATGCTTTGATAAGAAGAATCTAATTTGTAACAGAAGACAAACATCTAAAGAACGGGTCTTTAAAACGGACTCGGCTGCATTTTCAATTACTTTTAATAATATTATGTTTCCTATATTTTATATACTTATATACTTTAATATTACTTAAACCTGGAACCTGCTTTTAACGCACTGTTGGACTTGCACTTAAGCCGCTAGCTAGCTCATTGGGATTAACTCATCTACTTATCTGTTTCTTGTATTTTGTTGTGGTATTTACGAAACATTTTTTAAAGTCTTGATGAATTCCTTTTGCATAATTCCATATTGATCTACAAATGTAGTGATGTTAACTTATTATATTACATAAATGTTAATTATATAATATTTTATATATATATTTTATATGTAAATAATTACTATATTTTAAAGGGAATATGTTTAAAAATTAGTGCTTTTGTGTCCATAGGACAAAATTGTAGTTCTTCTATATCGACTTCACCCAAATTTTTTAAAAAAGTTAAGGTTGTTCTGTGTATAGAACTTCCATAAGTCTGGAACGGAAATAAATTATGTAGTTGCACCTGAAAGAAAAATTGTTTTTAATAAATGAAAAATATCGTAACATATATAACATTATCATCTCATTATCTCACTGAACAAATTTTTATTCATTTACAAAACTCACCGATTTGTTCAGATTTCCAGTGTGAGCAGAACATTCCAACACTTTGGTGCGATGTATAATAACTCCTGTGTTTACTTCAGTTGAGTTTCTCTCCAGATTAATTATATTTCGTAATGTAATTATTTCCATATCATCACTAATTGGTGAATATTTGGTACCGAAGTCTTTTCGTAACGCTGTTTCCAATGATACATAAACAAATTTACTTATAGGATTTAGAAGCTCTTTAGTAGCACGGTATGCAGCCAAAGTCAATGCACCGGCAGGATGATTTTCTACACGTTTTTCACAACCTTCTAAGTTTTCAAACAACAAATGAAATATTTGTTCTGTTGGTTGATTGTCAAGTACACCCTCGCCTAAGCCACGGCCATCGCTTTGACTTAAACGCCGATCCAACATTATTTCTAATACTCCTGATGACAGAGAAGTTCCACCCAAAGGCTGAGCAGTGATTATTGTAAGTCGCGTATTTTCATCTTCAATATAAGCTGCAGTGGGTACCGGGTAAAAATTCGCTTGCAAAGGAAGCTTATGAAAATAGTTTCGCTTGATCATCTGTCGATTAAATATAAGCGATAAATATTCCAAATAATAATAACGAAACAATTTATTTAACTTAAAGCAGATACTATAATAAATGCAATATTACGTTTAAACTGTGACATACATACTTGCAAACCATTGAGGTCAGTATAGAAAACATCTTTATTTTTAATTGTTGTTGCAATTCTCATAGATATTTCAAAATTGTTCAATGGGCTTATGTTGACAATATTACGTATTTCAATTTTATTATCATATATCCTTGTGCAATGTACAACAAGAGGTAGACCGACGCAAACAGAACTCTCAATTGGTCCTTCGGTATATACAATATAAGGTACAAAATTGCCTACTAAGGGTTTTCCTGGACCATTAGGCAAGAAGAGATAAGCCCCAGATTGTTTGCTCCACCAGTTAGTACCATATTCATAAAATTGCACTGAAACCGGCCAGGGTTCTCTAATCCTATCGGTTTTTATAGACTTTAGAGTTCCATTATTATTAAAATGTATGGTGCCACCATTAGTTAGAGTTATAATATATTCACGTTGGGCAGTAAATTTTATTAGTTCCTTTGGATAGTTTTCAATGTTTACAGCAATAAATGATGTATTCGATATGATGTTTGAAGCGAAGTATGTATGTCTATTAATAAATCAGATAATTTAAATGTGTTATTTAAGATGTTATAAGAAGTTCTTACTTTGATTTCGTTTTCTCCGATTTCAGATTTAATATATATGTTTTCATGCCCAGAGGAGGTATTTTAACTACAAAATGTAAATTATAAAGTTTAGTTAAAAAAGTCGGAGTTATTTTATCCCAAATTACAACTGGAGTTATTTGTGCTTGTATTGGACGGCCATCAAGATCTGAGACAAGAATAAATGGGGCAGTAACTAAAAACTGTACTGTTTCCTCTCGCCATTGTGCCAATGAATTGTGAAACACTAGAAATTTACTGTTTCCATCTTCTTCGCTAAAAATAATTGGACTACGAATTGAGCCGTTACACGGCCAGTTAGAATCATCTATGTCGAAATATTTCTTATTATAATCCATTTTTTCATACTAAAAAAAAAAACTTAAAGTTAGAGTTTACATATATTTCCGACACTAAATTACTTACAGAATTTCTAGTCATTAAACGGAAAATATTCATTTCCATAACATACTGACAATCCTTAATGGCATTTTTCAGACGGATTGAATAATCTTCTACCACATGTGCTCTTGCGGTGCCCGTTATGCCATCGTGATGCTGAAATAGGGATAACTGCCGACGCACATTTCTTAGAATTTTCTCAAAACGGTCATTTTTATATTTTACATTCCATGCATTTAGCTGTTCCGCCGCTCGCAAGTAGTACAACAGAACACGTTCCATGCGCTTATAAAATGGACGTGTTGTATAGTAACCACTC